GGCGGGGCGCGGCGGGGGCCCCCGCGGTCGGGGCTGTGCCTGACGGCTCTCTGCTCTCCAGGCAACCTCTACTCCCGGCTGGTCCATCTGGAGGGGGACCACGTTGCCGTGCAGATCCAAGACACGCCGGGGTGCATCCAGGTACGGAGATGCTTCCGATCAGTCGGTTCTTCTCTGCCACCTAAAGGCTCAGCTTTTGAGCCAAGGCTTCCTCCAAGGCCAGGCTTAGTCTCCTAAGACAGAGCGCAGGCTTCCCTTTGGACCCATTTAACGGTGCTGTCTATGATGCAGGCTTTATACTTTCACAGCCCCGTGCCAAATTTGTGCTCTCTGTCGTACCGCAGGTGCAGGAGGACTGCGTGCAGGTGCTGGACTCCCTCTCCAGGTGTGTGAAGTGGGCAGAGGGCTTCCTCCTGGTCTACTCCATCACGGACTACAGCAGCTACCAGTCCGTCCAACCGCTCTATCAGTACATACGCAAGGTCCACCCCGATGCCAGGACTCCCATCATTATCGTGGGGAACAAAGCAGACCTCCTCCACGCCAGGCAAGTGCAGGCGAAAGACGGACTACAGCTGGCAAATGAACTGGGCAGCCTGTTCTTGGAAATCTCCACGAGTGACGACTCCCAGGGCGTCTGTGATGTTTTCCAGTATCTTTGCAAGGAGGTCAGCAAACTACAGCACGCTGGCAGCATGGACAGGAGGCGGTCGTCCATCATCCCTCGGCCCAAGTCTCCCAACATGCAAGATCTAAAGAGACGTTTCAAACAGGCTTTATCTTCCAAAGTCAAATAAACCCCCCGATGAGATCCTGTGTGACTCAATAGACTTTGTTTTTGTAAACTAGTTAATAAAAATCTTTATTTTTGTACTAATGCCAGCAGTATGGATGTAAGTATGTCGAAGCTTGTGATTTCCTTGCCATTCTCTCTTGTTTGACTGGTTGGGTTATTTTTACCAAAACAAAAAAATGCTGCATAGTAACTAAATAGAGGTAGTTGGAGAAGGGGATTTTTGCCAGGAGGTTCTGATTCCGTTTCTGTTTTGGGCTGGGATTTGCTGTTTTACTCTGCTCAAATGACTTTTTTGGAGCCTCAGTTTCCTGTTTGTAAAATGGAAGTGATGATGCTGTAACGCTCACCTGCCTTTATAAAATGCTTGGAAAGCCTTTGATGGAAAGCTTTATATGGAGAGAGAGGGGGGGAAAAAAAAAAGCTCTATTAAACATGAAAATATAAACCTGTAAGAATTATGATTATAATAGGATTGCTTTCCTCCCTCAACGACTGCTGTTTTGCTTGTACCTGTAATTGCCTGAATGATGATAAGCTGTTAGGAATGAGTTCCCGTTTCTGAGGTGCTTTAGAGATCTATCCTGCAGAATTAATCTTTTGAGCCCAAAGCATTTAATGGGAGGGTTGAGTTTCTCCTACGGATTACCATGGGACAAAGTGCTGAGCAATCCGCTGCAGAGGAGTGTGTGGGATGGCTGCTGCTTTCTCTGGAGATCTGTGATAGGAAGGACTGATGCGTAGGTTCCCTTTACAGAAAATAGCTACATTTAAAAGGAATCGCATCTTTATCTTCCCCAGGGCAATTTCGTAGCCATTGGAAACAAGTTAGACTTTTCACTCATATTTCACATAAGCTCTACACCGTACTAGAATGGTTTTTATTAACCGTTTGCTGGATGCCTAAGCATGGAACGTGGGTTTTGCGCTTCAAATATGCCTCTGAAGTATGTGCATTGTGTTGGGAAAAAATAAAGCTCTGCTCCATGCTGAGTAGAAAGTGTGGAAGTGGAGTAATCTGTACAGTGGGAAACCTGCTGTCCTCGCTCACGCACAACTCCAGTAAGATATGGGTTTTTTTCTGTAGGTTAAGTCCAAAGACCCTTTTCTTCTTGCCTTTGTTAGGAAAGGCAGGTAACTGCTGCCTAAGTCCCTTGTAGTCAGTAGGCAGTATCTGTTGTTTCTGACCCCTGGGACTTGAAACTTTCTGGGACACCTCCACTCCTGATCTGCAGATGAAAGCCTTCATGACGGTGGTAATCGAGGGGAGGGTGACTGAGCAAGATGGTGCTCTGCAAGGAAGCATCAGAAGCCCATTTTAGCGCTGGGTAGAGGTGTGGGATGCCAGCAGCACTATTCCCCATCCAGGGCCACGTGTACACCCCCAGTCCAGGCATGTTACCTGTGTATCTCCTCTCTGAAGGCCCTGTGCTGCCCTACCAAAGGGAGCGGGAGAGCTGAAGGGAGCTAGCTCCAGACTTGCAGGACCAGACTGAAACTGGGACTGCAAACTGGGTCCAAAACTCTTGAATTAATGGAGGTGCAAAAGCACAGTGACAGCCTGGACAAATAAAAGTACTGTTTAAAACACATTTTAAATATTTCTTCACTGTGAGAGCTGCTCTGCCGGGTCCAGGACTCTGGGCTGTGGGCTCGAGGGGAGCAGAGGGAGAGGGTTGATGAGAATGAGCAGATCCCGGGCAGACTCAAACTCACCACACAGGCCACGCATTCATGGGAAATTTGAAGGGGAGTTTGAAAAATCACAAGTGGGATGTTTATGCAGCATTTCACCATCCTGAAATCAGGGATAACAAATTGTTTCCAAGAGAAATTACCACTATGAAATGGTGTTGGTAATTTTTTTAAACTGTAGCTTTTGTCTTTGGAAGTGGTGAAGCTTGATTTCCTACTCATGCATCCAGTACAGATTTTCACTGAGCAAGTCGCTCAAGGCATCCAGCTCATACATGGGCACGAAATACGCTAAAAGGGCAGGTAACGTGTACTGGAACTCTCTGCACCTCACCATGGTCATCAAAGGCCAGGTGAAAAAAAGCAATAGGCACCAACCTCTGGTGCCTCCCTCTGCCCCACTGTGAGACTTTAGAAGCCACCGGCAGCTGTGCTGGCTGTTTTGGGCAAGAGGCTGCCGGGCACACGAGGGGAAGAAGTGGGCAGGAGGGTAAATACAGTGATTTTCCCCATCTCTCACCTATGGGGAGAACGTAAAGAGATGCCCCTCGTTATATAGGCACCCACGTTCAGGTGGAGGTGCAAACCCTCCCATTCCCTCCCCATGCTGTCGGGATGGCTCGGTCACATGCTGGGAGCAGGATGAGCCCCCTCGGGGATGTAATGGGGAATCTCACTGGCTAAAGCATGTCCATGGCAGGGAGGGAGGGGTGCTCTGACCTGCTTCCAGTCTAAGGCAGCAGCTGAGCTGGGGAGTTCTGGATAACGCTTTTGGGTACAGATACATAAATTAGGCATTTAAGCTGTTTGTTGGAATTTGACCCGGCTGGCACAGATTTGCCTTCACCCAGAAGTTTTCAGCCTGTGCGACCCTGGGCTGACAGGGAAAGTGCAGGAGGAGCCCGCTGGCTCCCAGCTCCTTTTGCCCTGGCTTTTTCTTCAGTCCGGGATGAGCGGACAAAGAGGGGCACACCGGGGCAGGGAGGGAAAGCCATCTCTCAAGTGCTAGCAGAGGAGCTCCAAAGCCTTGTTTCTCTTGCACCACAGCCACTTGCACCCTCCCTACCGAATACGTGCCATGACCAGTCTCTAAGCCTTTCACCCAGAGGCCAGGGTGGCTTCAGAGGGTAAGTGGGGCACACCCTGGCCTTTCTCCTTGATCACAGGAAAATATGCGTCTGCCTCCTTCCTCCCACCACCTCCGCTATGAAACCAAATCACAGCAATTTCCCCTGACAAGACGGATGAGTGGGTTTTCAGAAGCAGGGACGTGTGCGGCATCATGCACTATTATGGCTGCTACTACATCAGCATCTCCCCCCTGTTGGGCTATTTTGTCTAGTTATCTCCCAGCACTGAAATCATCTAGTAATGCTTTAAGACTTCATGAATTTTAAAATAGCTGCTGCTATCAACCTGTTTCTGTATGCTTCAGTTCAGGAGCCACAGATCCCTAGACAGAGATAAGGATGTTTTCTTCAAAAGGCTTTACGGCTGTCCCCTCGCTTTCTGCCCTGCTGGAGCAGCCTGGACCTGGGCTGCTTCCTCGCTGCCTCCTGGCAGGGTGCAGGCTATCAGCACATGCAATGGTCAGTGCCGCAGGCCCCTGCTGTGTTTATGTGGTTTGTTCGGATGAAGGACCGTGGACAAGACGGACTGTGGACAAGAGGGACCACGTTCACATTGTGGGCAAGACCTAGGTTCCAGCTTCAGACAGGGAGCAAAAGTGGTCGAGGCTCGGATGGACAGATGACTAGAAATGAATCTACATCCCATGCCTGGACCTCCTATAAGACAATTTTAGTCCTGGGGGACTTCAATAGCTTTTGGTGAAGCTGCTGTTTATTTAGGAAGGTCTGAATAGGTTCAGAATAAATTCCTTCAGGGAAAGTTGACCTTTTGCAGCAGTTGTTGCACTTGGCACATTGGCTTTTCACACCAGTAAGACAACAAGATCTCTTTAGTTGCTCCTAAAGCCAGGATGCGAAGCCAGTTGTCCTTCTAGGAGCAATATCTCCAGGGGTGATGCTGTCGCTGCATTGCTGCACCGAGGTACCATGCAATCCTCCAAAGAGCTGTCTTCCTGAGAAACCTTCAGAGTGATGTCCCTGAAAAGCTTATTATGAGTTAAAGCATGGCTCACAAAGCAGCAGCTCAGCTTGGATTTTGGGTAATTAGTGACAATTCAGACTTCCAGAAAACCCCATTGATTCTCAGACTTGCTCTTCCATGGCTCTCCTCTTTCCACCTATCTAAAGAGAGGAAGCAAGCAATGCCTTTTTACTGAAAATGGTTTTCAGATAACTGGTTTATGAGGTTTTCTATCTACATTCATTACTTGATGCTTTTGACTGAAAGAAGCATAAATACATATTGTGACTTGTTATGCCAGCGTACATTGTGGAGTGTAACCGGTTATATACTATCTTCCCACGCTACCAAAAGAAAAATTAGGGCATAGAAATCGAGCATCCATTTCACTGGCCAATGATACTCAATTTACAACTGAAAAGCTATGTAGTAAAGTTTGCATGATGATTATAGAGCTCCATAGACGTTACAGCTGTAGTTTTTAGAAATGCACTTGGTTGTTTACTATCCATGCTTTCCTTCCTGGCCTGAAAATAACCATCCATAGGAGAAATCCTTGCCCAGAGGCCCTCACGGTGTGAGCGGCTGTGTATAGGTGGCTGCTTTAGCCCCATGCCTCGACCCCTGGGTTTCGCTGGTTAAGTGCTTGAGCAAAGGCACCTGCCCATGTGCCTGGGCTTGCGGGGTCACGGTTCAGTGAACTGTATTTTGCTCTGGATCTATGCACAATATTGCCATTAAAATGTATCTGTCAGGGAAATTGCGCAAGGTTATTTAATAGTCAACCTGCATTACTGGGAAGCAGTAATTAATGCTTAAAGCTGGAATGTTTCTCTTCCAAGGTATTTGGCTCTTTCCCCATTACTAAAAACATCCTCTTCTCAGGTTTCAAATGGTCCTTGTAAACATTTCATAGTAATGTCCCCCCTTGGGATGGTAAGCCAATATCAGCAAATATTGTTTCTGGGCGCAGCTCTGAGAAGAGAGGACTAAACTCTCCCCTGGCTGGGGCAGGGAGGTGAATTACAAACTCCAGTCCTGCAGCTGATACTTCCTTCCCCTCCTGCAAACAAATCCCAGCACAGGCAAAGCAATGCTCCTGCTGTCTGGGGCTCACAGCCCTGAACCCTTCCAGGAGCCTTTAAGAACACGGTTTGATCTGAACCATGCTCAGCAAGCAGATTTCCCACTGATACTGTTTCTTTTGATATTAAAAAG